CCTTGTAATTGAGAGAGATGTAGCATTTGTCATCCGGAAGTAGTGATTGTTTAGTGATGAGCTAGCATTTGATGCTCTTCTAAGGCTTGGTAAATGTTGGGGATTTTAGTAGGTAAACTTTCTTGTTTTTTCAGAGAATAAACCATATCTCCTAACAATAAGGGAAGAATATTTTCTCTACAATCTAAACAAGGGATAAAATAAATTCTTAAATTAAGGGCTGAAACTATTAGTTCCCCTAAACTAAAATCATTTATCTTACCCCGACAAATATCATAAACTTTCTTTTCCGTAATGTCGGCTAAGGCTATTTCTTCGGCTATGACAGTTAAAGGTTTATTAGTTTCAAACTGATAATTTAAGATGCTTTGACTAATAGTGTATTTAATTTTTTCAATTTCATCCGCATCTTTTGGTAAAGCAATATTCTCTCCTTCATATTTAGGGTTAGAGAACTTTTTTCTTATCCTCATTAATTCTTTCTGAGGTGGAAAAGAATAATCTCTAGTGGTTTCTTTCTTAAAAGTGTAGTTATTTTTTCTGGTCATATTTTTTTCTTCGATAGCAATCAATAATACCTAAATAACTTTTTCCTTTTTCTAAACAACAGATTAATTTGTAGGCTCTTCATCCTCGAAACAATGGTCGATAAGAAAAATATTCATAAGGCTCTTTATAATCTTCAATAATAACCTTTTTGTTATTCAGTTCTAAAGCAAAGTTATAAATAATTTCATCAGTTAGATAACTGCCGTGTTTCTTTTCATAATGAGGATCAATAATTAATTGGTCTAATTGATAGATATTAACTACTAGTTTAATTGGATAAATTCTTCTTTTTTCTCTGGTAGTAGCAACTAATTTAGGTAACTTCATCCTACATAATAATTTTAAACTTATTTAGTTTTTTTAAGAAGAGGTTGGTGATCGTCTTTCTTTATCCATTTTTTTAATTTAGTTTTTAGTTTGCGGTTCCTTCCCATTTGGGCTCAACTAACTCCTTTTTTGCTTTTATGTTTCATTTTATTAAGTCAGTAAACTTCTAAGCGGATTTCCTCGGGAACGAGGTAAAGAATGAACCTGTTTTCTAATTTCTTTTTCTTGACTGG